AGATGAACAAAAACAGAAGTATTTAAAAGAATTATCCATAACCTATCATTTAGAGGTAAGCGCTGTTAACACTATTTTTGTGTTTAACATTCCAGACATTTTTCATACACATATAAATATAAAAAATATACTATCTATTTAAAGAAAAGCATAATCATATTAGGCATACTGCTGTGCCCCTAGAAAGAGCAAAAAAGACTCCAGCCAAATCTGGCCATTCCCTGAATCCTATGTTTTAGTTTGGAATTTTTGCATATTTCATTGATTCTATTAACCTAAGATGTCTTTGCCATCAGGCTCTGCTTGCTGAAATCCTATCTACCACAAACAAAACAGAATACGAAGTCCTGAAATTGACCACACGACACATGGGAATTTTGTATGAGTTGCATTTAAAATCAGTGGATTATAAAATAATGTTGAAAAACTAGATAATATTCTTTTTGGAAAATGAATTATTTCATTCCTTATAACAAAACTAATTCCATATATAGAAATAAGGAGGAGAGTCATAAAAGTACTGGAAGAAGTAATTGATGTGTTACTTTTGTTACAATCACTAAAGAGAGACTTTCCTTAATACAAAAAGAGTATGGACAAGTAACAAGAAACTATCCAACAGAAAACGTTTGAGAATGCATAATATATTACATACACTCACACCCAAATAGCAAATAAATATTGGAAATAAATGAATATCCTTACATATGATGATCAAAACTTTAACTGAAAGAATAATAATGTGCTATTTAAAATACTGAACAGACAAAGATTTGAAAGATTGATAAGACCCAGTATTAAGAGGAGTTTTTAGAACCAGAAATTCTTGTATACTATATTTGGAAGACAATTTAGCAATCTCTAAAAATTTTAAATGCACAGAAGTTTGACCCAGTACTTCTAGTACTAAGAATAATTCTCCATATACTTATTGTAAGGATGTTGATTGGAGAATTGCTGTAGTAATGAAAACTTGGAAATCACCTATCTTGCCATCAGCAACGTATTGGCTAAATAATATATGATACACATCCATATAACGGAATATTGATGAGTCATTTAAAGAAATGAGGTGTGTGAGACATACATATCTCTTACCAAATGCTCAAAAAATGGCAGAACAGTATGGACAATATGATTCCTTTTATGTAAAAAATACAAATAGAAAACATAAATGTTAATATAATAAAATCAATAGTGTTACTTTTATTGATGGAAATTATATATGCCATGGGTAAGTCATAAGAAGGGATAACAACCTTAGTAATCTTCTGTACTGTTAAAACTTTTTTCCAAGAAATATATTTCTTTTACAATTTAAATGGTCATTAAATTTTTATTTTGTAAGGCTTAGTCTCAATGACATCAACTTCATGAAGTCCTCCATGAATATTCTAGACACAGAGAATTCTTCTCTCCTCTAAATTTTCTGGTAAGTATTTCTACTTCTCGGATTATATTGCATTCTTTTGTTTGTTTATTTAACTTGTCTTATATCTCCCACTATAGTGAAGATCGTTGGTAACAGGGCTCAGATCTCATAGATCTTTATATCTCTCTCAATAGATCTGTACATTTTTGTACATGTATATCTATTTCAATATTTATAACTATATCTATCTTTCTATACAACACGAATTGAATTACATCAAAACTCCTTTGCCTTTAGTACAATGCTCACATTTTCTTAGTTAAATCAATGACCTTAATGGTCCATTATATAAAATTATTTTTGGTTCCTTGCTTGGAATACCCTTCCATATCATACATCCTTCAAAACTATCTCAGGTTTTATCCTTTCAAATCCTACCAAATACTCAGAAGGAAGCTTCATCATTTGTTTCTATTTTCACATTGTTTACAGAATATTTTTGTATAGTTTTGTCTTTCAATGTACATTGATCAAATCTTTTCATTTATTTAAAGAGAAAGCTCATGAAAGTAATAAACCCCAAGCAATTTTGTCTCTATTAAAATGGAAGCTCCCAGTGGGAGGAGATCACTTTATTATGTGTTTTGTAAAGTCCTGAGATAACATGTTTGATGGATTTAGTAGATGAAGTGATGAGATTTTGCCATTTGCAAGGTTACAGAGATAAGATAAAGGGGGAATACCTTAGAATCATAATTATACAAGCCAAACTCACTGTAAGGAGGAAGCAAATGCCCCAGATGGCCTTGTCTATACCCTGTCAATAAACAGGCTGCAAAACACTGACTTAAACATTGCCCCTATTCCTTATCAAAAAACTTCATAGGTATGGTGGCACACGCCTGTAGTCCCAGCTACTTGGGAGGCTGAGGCAGGATAGCTTGAGGCAAGGAGTTTGAGAATGCAGTGAGCTATGATCAAACTACTGCACTCCAGCCTGGTGACAGAGTGAGATCCTGTCTCTAAAATAAATAAATA